AACATAGAAAGAAAGCGGATGACAGCAACTACGTTTACCTTTTCGAACGGCAATTGGAAGATCAGTTGACGGAGGTTGTGGTAAGGGAGGAGCATTCGCCGTTGGCGCCACTACATCTCGGGGCCGCCTAGAATACACTTGCGTAACGGGGGGTACGACACCAGAATCAGGACCCACTGCGGGTACAGGAATAGTGATAGTATAAGTAAGAAAATCCCCTTCTATCCCCGACGACTTATCCCCGGGAACGCTATCAGAGAACACAGTTTCCTCAAAGAACGTGACGTCAGCCGAAACCAGATATCTCCCCAAATCAGGAGAGTAACACCTATACCCTTTTTGAGTTTGAGAATACCCCAGGAAGATACACTTAAGAGATTTAGGATCAAGTTTTCCCTTTAGTGGACAAACATCCTGTACAAAGCACGTACAACCAAAAATCTTGGGGGACAGGGCAAACAAAGGTTTGGAGGGATACACAACTGAATATGGGTTTTGACCACGGAGTACAGAGGAAGGCATCCTGTTGATAACGAAACAAGCAGTGTGAATAGCATCTGCCCAAAACACTTTAGGCACTTTCATTTGGAATAAAAGGGCACGAGCAACTTCTAACAAGTGGCGGTTTTTTCTTTCCGCGACACCATTCTGTTGGGGGGTGTAAACACAGGAAGTTTGATGTATGATACCATTTTGACTCATAAAGGTAGAAAAGGAATTAAGAAGATACTCTCGAGCATTATCACTTCTCAAACATTGTATAGTCTTATTAAACTGAGTTTTCACTTCAGCACAGAAGCTTTGGAAAACATCAAACAATTCACCCCTAGACTTCATGAGATACAACCAAGTACACCTAGAGAAGTCATCAACAAAAGTTACAAAATACCGAAAACCATGTTTGGACGTAACCCGACACGGACCCCAAACATCAGAATGAACTAACTCGAATAAAGAATCTACTCTATTATTTACCCGAGAAACATAAGGAACACGATGGTGTTTTGCAAACTCACACGACTCGCACTGCAAGATAGTCAAAGCCTCTAAACCAGGACACATCTTCTTGAGCGCTGGTAAAGACGGGCGCACTAGAAGTGACAGGCAAATATGTAGAAAGAACATTGTAATTACCTGTCATATGCTCAGAAGCCCCTGAGTCAATGACCCACTGTCGAGGCGCAGAAGAGACACATGCAACTGAATTACCTGTTTGGACAAACGTTGCGGAGGTAGGCACTTGACTGGATGGAAACTGCGAGGAAGAAGAAAGCTTCATCTGATTGAATCTAGCAAACTCCTCATCCGTCATCACCACTGTATGACCTTCTGACGTGGAAGCCGTATTAGCAGCCATTTGTTGTCTCGGCGGCTTAGGACACTGATTTCGAAAGTGTCCGGGATCCCCACAATTAAAACAAACTCGTGGGCCTCCACGTCCTCCACGACCTCTCCAAGAACCCCCGCGCCCTCTGGAGCGGTTATTACCCCCTCCTCGAGAACCATAGCCATAGTTATCACCGGTACTTCCCCCTTGGGCTACCAGAGCATTTGAATCCATATTACCCTCACGCAGTAAGCAGAACAGCCCCAACCTTCACAGTGCCTGTACCCAAAGACACAACCAGACTTCAACACCTCCAGATTTCAACACCTCCCACCTCCTAGAACTCAGCACGACGAGGCGAGACTGGAGCAGGAAAAAATCGACCGGCGAAGTCGCCGGAAACCGCCTCACGCGCCGGCGCGTGGCGTCGGAGCTGCTCGGTGACGGCGGCGCGTGAGGGCGCGTGGCTGCACCGACGGTGGCCGGACTTCTTGGCGCAGCGTCGCACGTCCTCCCTCGACCTAGCCCAGGCACTCACTCTCACTAACTCAGCTCTGATACCATGTTAAGTGTTGAAACACAAGAAACAGTGTATACTCTCATATATTTCTGTACAAGAGAACTCCTATTTATACAAAGGTTGGAAGAGCTCCAGCCACAGGATTTGAAATTCAAACAAGAGAAAAACCACCTAACTCTAACTAACCCTTATTCATCTAACAAGTTCATATTTCAATTTTGTTTCCATTTCCAATGAGAGTCTAGTTATATTGCGATATTTTCGTCATAGACATCAAAATTTTAATTATATTGAAAGGTTGTTTACTGGTTTATTTATCAATAAAAAAAAAAACTAAATTTATTCAGTGCGAAGTGTGTCAACTTTCAAAACATACTCAAAGTATTTACTCAAGTAACCCTTACAAACCTTTCATTAATACATAGTGATATTTGTAAACCTTCCGGGGCAAAACATGTTAGTAGTTCTAGATGATTTATATATCATTAATGACCACACTAGGACCACATGAATTTTCCTCATGAAAGAAAAATCTAAAACTACATCAATTTTTAAAAATTTTCATTCTATGATTAAAAATCAATTCAAACAAAAAGTTCAAGTTTTGAAAATTGATAATGGGACAGAATACTACAACTCAATTATTTGCTCATACTTGCTAGATCAAGGAATTGTCCATATTAGTCACCCCTTAGCAAAATGGAGTGGTTGATAGAAAAATAGGCACCTCCTTGAAGTCTCTTGATCCATCATGTTTTCAAATCATGTGCCTAAACATTTTTGCGAGAAATTTGTATTTATTGTCACTCACCTCATAAACTATATGCCTAGTCGTGCATCAAGGTTCATGAAAGCTTTTACGACAAGAATGTAACACTTAAACAGATTCGAGTGATAATATGAGTTGTTACTATGTGTAAAATCCCAAATAGAATTCAACAGTAGTTACTGCATATTCCTGACAGAATGCAATGAAAATAAATCAAGCCAAATAAAAATACACAAGATATTTTTATCGCAGTTGAGAACACCTCCTAATATGCAGGCCACGCCCAAAACTTTCCACTAAATATCAATCGACGTTTTTACAAGTATAAGGTTCAAATTATTTACAAAAACTAGGTCTACCACATATTTTTAAGAGTTAATTCTAGGAATGGTCTTTCGACTATGGACTTTTCACCAATATTTGTCCTCGACTTTTAATTTAACCAAAATTAGTCCCTTGACTATTGATTTTGTTCCAATTTTGATCCTTCTGTTAAATCTCAATTAGTTAGGGGTTAAATTTAAGAGCAAGAATGTAAAATCAAATCTTTTACCATTTTTCTTCTCCATCGCCATAGCAAATTATTTCCTGTGGATCAGAAGATAAATAAAATAAAAAAATAAAAAATAAAAAAAGATACAAAATTTGATTTTACATTCTTGTCCTCAAATTTTATCCCCAATTAACTGAGATTTAACAGAATGACTAAAATTAGAACAAAAGCAATAATCAATGGACTAATTTTGATTAAATTAAAAGTCGAGGGCAAATATTGGTAAAAGTCAATAGTCAAAGGACTATTCTTGGAATTAACTCTATTTTTAATATCAATCTTAAACAACTTTGTAAGAAAATTTTAAAATACAATTTGAACTAATATGACAATTACACAAATTGTATACCAAACCTGAATTTTCACACAGTTTGTACTAGTATCAAGTGGATCAATCATTATTACATGGACAATAGTCCACACAACTGTGTAGACCATAAATAAAAAAGTACATTTTTAATATATTAAAGGTACATTATTTGTGTACGTAAAGTATATTTTTTTAAAGTACATTTTTTGAGTACTGAAAGTACATTTATGTATACTATTAAATAATGTATTTTCAGTACACAAATAATGTACTTTTAGTATATTAAAAATGTATCTAATATACGTGATCCACACAATAATTTGTCCAAGTGAAGCAGCTTCTCCAGATAGTACTACCATCTTAAAGTTTCTTCACATTCCTTTATGAATAAATTCACATTTTCAATCAGGGATCCTGTAGTCCAATGGTACCATATCACTTCCTTATGTGGGAAGTGATAGATTCAAACCTTAATAGAGAAATTTGATTTGATGTAATAGCTATCCTCTTCCTATAAATAAAACAATCACATATTCACTATTCCACGCATGACTTCACGTAAAGGAGTTCTGGTTTTAATCTTGATCTCTTTTCAGCCATACATTGTTGAGATAATCTTGCATCTACTTCCAGCTCATTTACTACTTTGAACCAACATATGCCAATAACAAATAAATCATGTACTCAATTAATATATTCATTATTAATTTCGTACTAACAATTTAAAACATGATGAACTCTGTTACTACAAGCATTCTGACATTTCTTAGAGGCCGCACAATTAAATTACTTGAAATATTAATTATCATATTTAGTTCGTTTAAACTTCACCGAAATTAACAAACATTAAAAAAATATATAACAAGTAATCAAGAGTTAAACTCAAGTTAATTAAGTTATATATATATATATATATATATATATATATATATATATATATATATATATATATATATATATATATATATATATATGTATATGAGCAAATTACACTTTTTGTCCTATGATTATAGGGAGTGTGTTAATTTCGATTTGTGACTTTTAAAACTAACAATTTAGTCTCTTAACTATATTTTTTTAGCAGATGTGGTCCTCCCGGCCAAAGGATTTATCGCCCCACCAAGATACCGGTCGGATCATAGTCCCATTGTTGACAAAGGGTCTATCGTCAAGTCTTTTGCCACTCAAAATCTTCGGATGTACTGCTTTTGTCCATATCTATGATCACAAAAGAACAAAACATGATCCTAAATCTCATAAATGCATCTTCATTAGGTATTCAAGCACTCAAAACTTCAAAAGGGGTACAAATGTTACTCCCCAGCTATAAAATGACTTTATTATACACTGAATGTCACTTGGGAGATGTTTATCGTATTCTACATCGGAAACTGTTTATCGTATTCCAAAGTGCCTCAAAATGATACCATGGATTGCACTTCAGAAAACATGACAACCGAGACCTGGAACTACACAGGTTCTAGTTTTGCTGGAAAGTTGACTAATAGACCACATAGTTGCTGATCATTTACATAATCAATTTCATTCAGTCTCACACAACATAACATCTGCTCTGCCAATTCTTCAAATTTGTTACATTCACAACACCAGAAGCTTTGATCAGAAAGAATGACAGAAGCTTTGGTTTCAATTGCAAAGAATGAAGATAAAAGCTTGCCTCAATTGTGAGCCCAAAATCTAAGATGCAAAGCTTTTAGCCTATCTAAGAATGCTTCAAATTCCTTCCTAGAGATGTAACTGACTCTGTGCATATCTAAATCGATCTCGAATTAGCTTTCTCCCTGCACAAAAAAAATGATCAAATTAAACATTGTAATAAGAATCGAATCAGTCATAGCATTCCTTGTATTAATAACTATCACCACTCTAGTTTCCTTAAAATTTTAAAATTGAAGACAGGAAAGCTTAAAATATCTGAAGGGAATAGACAATCTTCGACGTGTTATTGCAATTAATATTAAATTTGTAAGTAACATCCTTCAAACTATGCTTTAGGGTGGGAGGGTAATACAATTTGATGCCCCCATCCTCCTAGAAGAGGCTCTCTTATTTATAGTTCAGTACAATTTGTAAATAAAGTAAAAGCAAAAATTATGTACTCGTAATTGCCAATACTTGATTTTATGCTCCTTCCCAGCACTCTGCTGCATGAATGGAACAGAAACATGAAAGTTTAAAACCCAGTCTGACCTTATGGGTTTTGTACAAAAAAGTGGGTAAAAATAGATGTACAAATGAACATCACTTTGAGCTGGAATACAAAATCTGCAGTTACTTGGAATAAAAAATAGATGCAAAGGTACCTCAAAATGACACCAGGTCTTGCATTGTGCGCTGTTGAGTGTCTTAATAGTTATCTTATCAGCAGCTGGGGCCGCCTTTATATGATGCATATTAAGATATGTTGAGCTAAAGCAACGAGTGAAAATAGAAATCTGAGTTTATTAACTCATGTAAAATTGCATTATAATTCCCTTCTTCCCCTTTGAAAGACAGTTTTAACTTGAATTTGGAGGGCTGGAGCTGAAGGATCCTCTCTTCTCGAAAACTTAAGAAATGGCAATATGTATGTGCATAACTGCATATACATCTTTGAAGAATTTTACACCGGTTTCTTAGGATCAAAGTAACACTGCAGCTCCTCCCAGTTTGCAGGGATACTATTTTCCCAACAAAAGGAAATGAAAGGGGAAAAAGTGCCAGCATAAAAATATATAATATATATTTATAGAACATTAAGCCAATCAACATTAGTGTACATGTACTAAAAATTTATTTTCAAAATGATGATGAATTAGTTGAAGCTTGAAAATGACGGTGGATGAACATAATTGCCTACTTGGTGTTTAACTGTAGAATAAGAGTGCTAAAGCAAATAATACTTGCAATGAACCTCAAGAAAACAAAATGCAGCAGTTGAGGATGACAAAATACAAGAATGATGAATCGAAAATGTAAGAGAAATGTCCTTAAAAATATTTAGTGCAATTGGTATTTTGACCTGCAGAGAATATTTTGTGCAATTGGTATAACTAGAATTCCATTTTGACCTTACTTTGCCACGACTAAAAACCTGAAAGCTAATGCTCCTTCCTAAAACACACAGGATCTTATATTATTTTACTATAATACAAGGCAATGGACCATCATGCATCACATTAAGTGAAGGAGGAATATACGTAGGGTGACAACAATGGAATTCCATGTACTAAGCAAAGAAAAGAATGATATAAAATAAATGAAGATATCAGTATATAATTGTTCTCATATGAGAGGTTCCGTTGCAGTGTACAAAAGATTTTCCTGTCCATCAATAAGAACATTAGGTTGAACGCCATACTATGAGACACTCGGGAAAGTTGAGACCCAAACTTGTGGAATCCCTGGAATGGGAGTGAAATCCCTGAAAACATTCCTCCAAAAGTTGCAAATCATGAACAAGTAGAGAAGCTAAAAGATTCCAAATATGTAGTTACTTTACATGATTCGCTGCAAATTTCTGTATCACCTTTAGTACTCTCTCATCTCCAGTTTTAAGTGCAAGTAAGTCGTTTATGAAGAACAATGTGTGCTCATTTGGAGAAATACCCTTACCAACCATTTCATCCAAAACTATATTTGCCTCATGCCACTTTTTCTCTCTAACAAATCCTTGCAAAATAACATTATAAGTCACAGTATTTGGAAAGCAATCATTCTTCTCCATTTTCCTTAACAACTCTAAGGCTTCATCTATTAATCCTTCTCGACAAAGCCCATTTATCATTGCAGTGTATGTATACACATTTGGGTGTTGCCCTTTAGAGATGAGGTCATTGAATACATCACATGCAATACTAAGTTGTCCTATCTTGCAGACCCTATCAATTATGATGTTACTATAAACAAGAGAATAATTCCCGCTTCTATCTAACTGATGATAGACTGACATTGCCTCTTCAACATGTCCATTATCACACAAACCACTAAGTAAGACACATGAAGTGTAAAAATCTGGTTTATGTCCAGCAACCAGCATCTCCTGAAAAAGTTCTAGTGCAGCAGAACATCTACCCACCAGAAAGAACCCCTGCAACATTGTGTTATACGTAACAACATTAGGATGAAACCCTTTTCGAGGAATTTCACGAAACAGATGCATGGCCTCATCCATTTCTTTTATTTTGCAGTATCCATTAATTAATATGGTATAAGTCCAAACACTATGTTGAAGGCCACTTTCTAACACCCGACCAAAAGCTTTCCTCGCTTCATCCATCCGTCCTTGCAAACAGTACCCCTCAATAAGAGTGCTGTATGTCACGACATCAGGATAAATGTTCCTTTGAATCATGATCTGAATAATAGTTTCCGCACTTTCCAACTTCCCCTCCTTACAGAGGGCATCCATTAATACATTGAAAGCATGGACATTTGGATATACATTATGTAGCACCATCTCATTCATTAACTTGGTAACCCCTTTCCATCGGCTAAAATTGCAAAGGCCTTGAATCAGTGAAGTGTATGTGATGATATCCGGGGGAACCCCTCTTTCAATCATCTCAGAGAGAAGGCCAAGAGCCTCATCAACCATTCTGTCTTTGCATAGAGAATCAATTACAGTGTTATAGGCTATAGTATTAAGCTTAGGTCCCTCCTTTTGCATTACTACAAGTAAATCAAGAGCATTTTGTGTATGACCTGCCTTGCAAAGCCCATATATAAGAGTACCATAAGTAATTTGATTAAGTTTGCACACATTTTCCCTCACCAACTTCTTGAATAGCCCTACAGCCTCTGCAATCTTATTAACCAGAACGAGGCCCTTAATCAGAGTGGTGAATGTGACCACATCAAACTCAAATCCACACTTGAAAACCACACCAAGTACACAAAACCCGCAATCTACTCGACTTGAGCGGCAGTACACATCCATAAGAATGTTATGGGAATACACACTGATTGGGATGCCCTTAATGCGCATTTCTTGAAACAGGGAAACAACTACAGAATAATGCTTCAATTTCACAATTCTACTAAGCAGTTTGTTGAAGTGAATAACAGAAGGCAAGGGCCTGGTATGAGCCATTTGACGGAATAACTTTAGGGCTTCGTCTAAATCACTACAGCTTTTTTTGAATTTGGATTGATTCGAAGAAACCATACCTGCCTCTGTTTCCGCCGCAAAATTGACCGAAATGGGAGTAGAGCTTGCTCTCCTTATTCTCCTCCAACTCATGTTAGTGAAGAACGAAGACAAATTAGCATTTCTCTTTGTTTTCATGAAATGAAAGTTAGGGCTTTGATTTACATGAAATGAAAGTGGAACCCCATTCAAGAGAGACCAGCATCACCAGTTTTTGGTTCGTTCTTCATCATCTTCAGGACCAAGCAGGCTTCATAGGTTCAGATCGAGATGCACGAGGGTGCTGCTGTTCAAGAAGATTGATATCTGCAATGGATTTGCACAGTGGGTGTGTTCTTCTTCTTTGTTGTAGTGCTGCAGAATTGCAGATGTTGCTACCCAGTTTATTGGTGGAAAAATTCAAGCATTTCTTGAGGGGTAGTGAAGTGTGGGAAAAGCTCTTGTTCCATCTTTTTTATGTGAGTTATTTAATTCAAAATGATATGTTTTGAATTTTTGAGCAAAATAGTATAAATTATTCAAATTTTAGATAGTTTTTAAGTTGATATTTATTTTAATATTAATTATTAAAGTACTAAATAGTTTAGAATTATTCGTCTTAAAAATAAATTTTTTAAAAATAAAAAAATACATATGCACCTAAGCACTAGGCAACTTCGAGGTCTGATGAGCGCCTAGCGATTTTTTCAACAATGTCAAAAACTCAAACTTGGATTTATGAGCATTGATATTTTTCTTTCAATTCTTGCCTTGGTTGGTGTTGTCGGTTGTTTGATAGTGTTGTTAGTTGTTACTCCACTGCTTATTCACTTGATTTTGCTCGTAAGATTTTGCTAATATGTTGATTGATTCATATCAAGTAATGAATTAATGATGCTTAACGTTGAGCAGATTAGTTAAGAGATTGAGGTAATTTTTTGTGGCATTATTAATTTTTAACTTCAAAGTATTTGTAATTCTATTGAAAAAATCGCGGTGTAAAATGAAAAGACAGTTATACCCCTGCTATAAGGGGAAATATTTATTCTAGTGAAAAATGAACGGAGGTTTCATTGGAATGACTATTTACACTAAGTCACCTAACTAGTTGGTAAATAACTTATGCCACCAAATTCAAATAATCTCCAAATAAGGCATTTGAACCCGGAAAAAAAAAAAAGTAATTAACATTTTTAATAGGTTAACTCCAGATTTTTGCTGACTGGATTGCCAAATGTTTATTGTATTTACGTTTTTTGTTTATTATAATCCACCTACATAGTAATATATTTTAAAATAATTGTAATCAAAATAATTTTGTCTTGTCTAGATTTGATTTATTTATTTATTATTATTTTTTAAAATCCAGTGAAGAAATAATAATAAATCAATCAATCAATCAAATCTCGATAAGTTAAAACTAATTTGATTATAATTATTTTAAAATATATTACTATGCAGGTGGATTAGCCCTGTGCAACGGACGGATCGGATCGGATCGGATGGTTTTTCCGTTCATCCGATCGGATTGCGGATTGAAATTTTGAAGTCCTATCCGACTTTTTTGAAACTAAAACCCTATCGGATATGCTATGTCGGATTCGGATTATTCGGATCGGATGTCGGACCACATTCGGATTTGAAAAAGTTCAATGAAAATTGAAAATTAAAAACTGAAAAAACATAATATGATTAATTTAATATGATAATATCTAATCTACCAAGTTTCTATTAACAAAATAAGTAATAACTAATAAGCTAACAAACTAAAACATGCAACAACTTTTTAATGGACAGTTTGCAGAGCTAAATAATTTAAGTTTTACAAACAAAATTGCAAAAAGTAAACCAATACAAAATGAATATAAGTTTAAGTGTTTAACTTCCAAAACATCAAAAATTTGAAGTTAATCACTTAAACAGTTAAACTTCAGCAAGACAGCAATCATTCCAGTAATCCAGTCTAGGTCTTTTCATCAAATCATCAATCACCATTTCTACACTTCTTCCTGTTAATATGAAAACTTAACACAATATTAGATTATTAGACAACCTATGTACTAAACAGCTAACTAAGTAACAATATTATGCTGTAGGGGCATTAGGCTAATAGCCTTATAGGCTCAGATTGCAATTTTCCATTTCAAGCAAGGATAGTGGCAAATTGCTCAAATGTGTTATTATAGCACATGAGCAACATAGCAACACTATACAATTTGTTCAGACAGTGGTGGAAGCATCATCATTGCCAAAAAAAAGAAGTAAGAATAAATAATAATGCATTAAAACTGAACAGAGATCAATTAAGAGGATGAGAGTAATACCAGAGATCCAGATGGATGTAATGGGAGTATGGGACATCAGTACTGAATAGTGAATACTGCTCAACTCTAAGTGGGGCAACATTTCTATAATATAATTATAGAAAGTTGCCAAACCACTTAGACTGTTAAGACTCTTAGAGTTTCATCTTGTGAAGGCCATCAGCAAACAACAGTACAACACCATAACATATAAAGATAAATAATTAGTTAAACAAGTAATAATTACTGAAAACATTACAGGAATGGATGGCAGCATTGATGGTAGAGTAGTTCCAGCTCCAGTGGGTAACTCTGCAAAACAGTTAAGTATAAGTAGTTAGTTCTAGACTTACAAGTTACAAAAGTAAAAAAGAAATGATTTAAGAATTATATATTTACCTTTCTCCAATCTTTCAACCTCATCTAAATTTTCCTCAAGTGTGATTGGCTGATTATGTAACCTCAACCAATCTTGGGTACACAGTAAAGCTTCCACAATTTTAGGAGTCAAGGAACTCCTAAATGCATCAAGCACCCTCCCACTTGTACTAAATGCACTCTCAGATGCAACTGTGGAAATAGGAACTGCAAGTACATCCCTAGCCATTTTGGAGAGAATAGGAAATCTCTCACTATGATTCTTCCACCACTTTAGAACATCAAAACTCACAGATTCATCATCCTCAACCAGATTTTCACTCAAGTATATTTGTAGCTCTGTCTGCTTACTGCTTCCACCACCACTCTCCAATCTCTTTTTTTTTAAGTTCACTCTTCATCCTTGAGACAGGCCTACCAACTGTACAAGTAGTAGGCTGAGACTGGACAGGTTGGTTAGAGGATGAACTGTCAGAGTATGTAGCTGCATAGTCATTGTACAATGCAACCATTGAATTTTGGACCTTGGCAAAACATTCTTTGCCTTTGGCCTCTCCATACAACTGGACAAACTGGTGAGGCATGTACTCCTCTTTATCTCTAGGGTCCAGAATATTGGCAAAGAAAATGATATGGTTCATTTTTTCTGGATCTCCCCAGTACTTATCAAACTTCTCTTTCATTTTTGTCCCCATTGCCTAATAAATGCAGAAACTCAGAAAGCATAAGCATTTAAAAACACAAACAAGTAAACAACTTACAAGATATACAGAATTACACAAATAAATTGCACAAGTTTTTTACCTTTTCAGTTCTCTCAGCTTTAGTCATATCTTCCAGCATGCAACTGAGATCAGAAATCTCAGAGAAGAATGTGTTAGAAGTGACATAAAGAGAACCAGATATTCTCACAGTCATTTCATAAAAAGATTTCAAAAGCTTCATTAAGCTTTCAACAGTCTCCCAATCAAGGAAAGAAGGTGCAGAACCCAAGTCAGCAGAAAAAGAAGGATCATTTTGATGATATGAGTCAAAGACACTTTGATATTGAATTGCAGTGTTGAGCATAAGGTAGGTGTTGTTCCACCTTGTAGGGACATCAAGCTGCAAAGCTGATTTGGCTTCCACCCCAATGAGTTCAGCAAGTTCTCTGAACTTATTCAACCTAGCAGGTGAGTTCCTAACTCATCTCACTGCATCCCTCACCCTTTTAACTGACTCATCTGCAAACCTCAAGCCATCTTGAACAACTAAGTTTAAAATATGGGCTATACACCTCATGTGCATATACTGCACCCTAACAGAAGAACCCCCCCAAGACAACAACTTGCTTTTAAAAAATCCCATAGCTGTATCATTAGAAGAAGCATTGTCCACTGTCACAGTGAACACATTTTTAATCCCCCACTCCAACAGACAACTCTCTAAGGCTTTGGCAATATACTCCGCCCTATGAGAAGAAACAGGGACAAAGGAAATGATTTTTTTCTGAAGCCTCCACTGGTCATCAATAAAATGTGCAGTAATGCACATATAATTAATCCTTTGGACAGAAGTTCAAGTATCAGTGGTTAAACTGACCCTTTGGGTGCCCACCCTAAACAACTTCTTAAGACTCAACCTCTCATCTAGGAAGATTTGGTAGATATCCCTAGAAATAGTCCACCTAGAAGGAATCTGAAACCTAGGACAAGCTACAAGAATAAACTTCTTGAACCCCTGACCCTCAACAAACCTAAAAGGGAGTTCATCTATTATGATCATCTCACATAATGCCCTTCTAATGGCTTCTTGATTAAAGACCCAAGTCCCCAAAACCCCCACAGGAGCCTCTGTTGCAGAAGTTGAAACAGTATTGAATGTAAGAAGGGACTGTCTCATATCCTTTGAGACAGGATTTTTAAGGCATGCCATCATATGATTTTTCAAAGATGATGTGCCATGTTTCTTAGACTCACAGAAAAATACTTTCAGGCAGTAAATGCACTTGCCTTGAACCACTATATTTTCAGAGTTTTTGATCTTTTCAAAGTGATCCCAGACTGGAGATCTAGACTCAACCACCCTCCTCTTTTTTGCAGGAACAGCAGGAGCAACCTGAAGCTGCTGAGTAGGAGTCTCAGTGCCTTGGGCTTGTCCTCCATGTCCCTCTTGAGTTGAGGGTTGAGGTCCAGGGTCAGGAACATTGATGCTTTCCATCTAAAATGATGGGCATCAAATACTCAGCAAAGGCAACAAGCCAACAATCACATATTCACATTCACATAAACATACAAAGAAATCTGGATTCAGACACTTTTTGTGTCATCATGTATCAAGATTTCACATTTTCATATTTACATATTTACATATTTACATTCAAATATTCAATTAAGGGTAATACATCCAAAAACATACTCAAATAATGAAAGAAATCCAGATTCAGGAATTGTATCCAATTCATCATTATCTGGATTTCAGTTAATGGCTTCCACCAATAAATGGAAATTTCAAGTTTGAAACTTGATAATTTCACATTCAAGCCTTTAACTTTTATTTTAACATTTAATGGCTTCCACCAATAAATGCAATCTGTAACTTCTCAAGTATCAACAGATTACAATATCACAGTCCACACAAATCACAAGTACAAAATTAGAGACAAGTGAGATGCAATCTGGAACTTCTCAACAGATTACAATATCACAGTCCACACAAATCACAAGTACAAAATTAGAGACAAGTGAGATGCAATCTGGAACTTCTCAACAGATTACAATATCACAGTCCACACAAA